TATTGCCTTATTGTTATATTGTGTCTTGTGTTGCATTGAATTTCATTCATTGCACATTTATTGTTTGATTACCCTATTCACACCTCCTCCTCTAGGGTAATTTCACATATAGCTAACCATCTATTACGATAGCATATCTTTTCAGCGTATGTGGACATTCTTTGTTAATTGCTTAACAGTTAACATTTTAAAATGTTAATCTCCCAAAAAATAATATTGGTTATTAAGCTCCCGTTGTTAATTGGTACATGTCCGGATTCTCTACAATTACTTATGTGGGTTGTTACTTATGTCCGGATTCTCCATAATTATAAATATTTCTATATTATTTAAATAATTAATATCATTCATGAGGTTCATGTAAAGATTTGATTGGCTAACTATAGAGATTCTCTACAATCATGGATGTAATTTCTATCTAATTAGTTTTAGGATTGTGTCTTTAATTCTTTATATAACTTCATGAGAATTAGATAAGGTTAGAGATCTATCATGATTAGGAGATTGAGTCTCATCATGATTAGGAGTTTGAATGATATTATAATTATGAAGTTAGACTAGAGATAGAATTTTGGTTTCCCTATATATATTCTTCTATTTTTAAAGGAAAAATTAATGTGAAGGAGAGAAGAGATAACCGATATTCTTATAATCTAGGGTTAACAGATGGCGTAGCTTGATTTGAGAATATTGTGCGAGAGGCGAGGGTTTTGTATTATTTGTCCGTGTAAAAGATTACAATATTCGGAGAGGGTTTCACAGCTTTTGTCCATTCAGAAGATTGTAAGGAGTGGTTTTTAGAGAAAATATGAGAGTTGATTATGTATGTGAGGTTGAGAGATTGAGAGATGAGAGTTGAGTGGTTCCTCTTGAAGTTCTTCCTGATACATAGTAGATTTCTCGTATTGTTATCCCGTGAATGTAGGTCGAAGTTGGTTGACCGAACCTCGTAAATCTCGGTGTTCTTTCTTCTTGATTGCGGTTGTTTTCTATCTTGTTGATTGTGAGATAGTTTCCGAGTTGCGGAGATCGTAGTACGCGGGAAGACTAAAATTCCCCAACAATTAGTACTTATAGCTGGTCTAAATCTATTGGTTATTTTAAAATTTTATTTATTTGTCTTCCCATATTCTTGAAACGAAGATGCTGATAAGTTGGTTCCATAAGGAGAAAAGGGGTCTATTTCTTTAATTTAAAAAAATTATAATTAATGTAAACCAAAGTGTAAGCTATGATTCTACTCTACAGCATGAGTCATTGGTCATGCTATTTGCTAAAAAGTAAAGTTCTTGAAAGGGATGTTTAAAGAATATGATCAGCATAATCCATATTAGATTGCTTTCGATGTCCTAAGTTTTCTACATTTTATTTGCATTCAAGAACGTAAAGTGAAAAAGACGTTCCTCTCCATCTTTGAACTGGGGGGAAAGAAAATGGTTAAGGGTAGCTTCTGGGGTCATTTTCTCTTCCATTGCGTGCAACTGAAAACCAACATGTTAGCTTGAGAAGCACCAAAGGGCCTAATATTCTCGGATCTAGAAACATAATGGTTAAGGGTCGCTTGTTTTGCTTACTCCAATGAGAATCGCACAATAAATAAATCAATTTAAGTGATGCTTTTAGACATACTTAAAGAGAAGTATCGGATTACTGGTATACGAAGAGTTTCATACCTTTGAAACAAAGCCAAACAAAAGGATTTGATAATTATTATACCGAGCAAAAGTTTTTTTTTGAAGCAAAAACAGGGGATTTCTCACCATTCATTAAAATATAAAAGGTTCAAAATATGAAAAATGGACATGACCATGTGTCCCTGCAGTTTTTTTAAATAGAACTGAAAAAGAGCTTTCTCCCTGAACAGATCCGTGTGGATGAAGAGCGGACATTGTCGTCATTCATCGCAAACATAGATATATTGAGGGATCAAAGCAAGCTCTATACATTTATTGCGTGAATTAAAATTTCTATGAATATATCGAGCCAAAGATATTTCCTAGTGCATATAAAGAGGTAAATGGGTATCATATGTCGTATGAAGATATTCCCCCATACATGTAATGATGTGGCTCTCTATTAACCTAACGTAAAAGATATATATATGTGTGTGTGTGGGGGGGGGGGGGGGGGGTT